CCAGAGCCCGACGCGGGGCTCGAACTCACGGACCGCGAGATCGTGACCTGGCTGAAGTCGGACGCTTAACCGACTGCGCCACCCAGGCGCCCCTTTAAAGACATTTTTAAGAGAGAGGGGGCGTGGGCACCTGGGTGGCTCACTCGATTAAGTGTCTGACTTTGGCTCAGGTCATGACCTCCTAGTTTGTGGGTTCAAGCCCTGTGTCAGGGTCTGTGCTGACAGCTCAGAGCCTGGAGCCTGCTTCGGATTCTGTGTCTCCCTCTCTCTCTGCCCCTCCCCTGCTTGCTCTCTGTCTCTCTCTCTCTCCAAAAATGAATAAACATTAAAATATTTTTTTAAAAAAATAGAGAGAGCACACATGCGAGTAGGGAACAGCAGGTCCCTTCATCCTTTTCCAAGTGTGCGGCACCCCCACGGCTGGCATCTGTCTGTCCTGCAGCAGCATGGTTCTTGGGCACGTATCACTCCTACCGGCAGGGCCTGCACCCCTCTGGGAGTATTCTGAGTATCACCCCAGGGTATCCTTTTTAATCTCAAGTTTCCAACAAGAGGGGCAGCCCCTGGGGTTTAACACCCAGGCCACGGGAGGTCTGTGTGGACAGAATGAACGAAGCGCCAATCAGGCAGATGAAACCAATGCATTCTTTATTGCAGACTGAAACTAAGGGCTCATTCACACTGGGGGCTGTGACTAGGGGGTTTCTCTGACTGCTCAAGCTTTCCCAGACAGGCGAGGGCAAACTCTCCAAGAGGAGTACAAAAGAACTTCCAGAAGCAACTCCTGCAACGGGCCTGACGTGAGGACCTAGAAGCAGGAGTTAGCTCTGCAGAGGTTAACCAGAAAGGCAGTGTCCAGAGGGCCAGGCAAGCCCAACCCTCACATCTTGGTGACTTCAGGTCATTCCCTTCACCGGGAGAGTCACACACACTCTGAAAAGATCTAAGGCCCGGGGTCTCCCAGAGCTAGTTTAGGGAGGGGGGTGAGCACAGACTCAGAGGCTTGGAGTAGCAGGGGAAGGGCTGAGAACCTCCGCCCCAGGGCCACCCCTAGGCCGTTACTTCTCAAAGAGTAAAGTGCTTACAGGAATCACCTAGGGCTCTTGTTGAATGCAGGTGCTGATTCTGGAGTTCTGGGGTGGGGCCTGAGATTCTGCATTTCTAACAAGTTCCCATGGATGCCGGTGCTGCTGGTCCACAGACCACACTTTGAGTTGCAAGGCTCTGGCCATACAGCGCCTTTGTGCGTATCAGAAAAGTGCACCTCCTCTTTGACAAGGAGTAAGCCCACCCCAGGGCACAGGGCAGGTAAGGCCTGGACCACAGTTCTCACTCATCCACAGCGGACCCTGCAGCCCCGAAAATCCCACCCTGACCTCCTCCTCGCCCTGCAAACCCCTTTCCCAGAGCTTGGAAAGCCAGGCCTTATGAGATGAGCATCTCCCGGGACACTGAGTGCTCAGTGATGGGCCAACAGTGGTGGTCAACAGTCCTTGCCAAGAGACAGGGGGCCTGGGCAGGGGGGAAGGAACACAGCAGTCTGAGAATGAAGGTCTGGGCTGGGAGTGGCTTAGCCCTGGGGGTGGAAGAGTGGCTACCAGTGCATGGATGTAGGGTTTGGTGGCCTGGCCTGCCCCAAGTCCTGCAGCCTTGGGTGTCTCCCGACCAAGACGAAGGTCCGGGCCAGATGGGCTGTGGACTGTGAGTCTGCCTGCTCCACGGATGAGTAGACGGGAGCTAGATACCTGGGGAATTGAGAGATCAGGGATTCTCCAAACCACAGATGCTATCAGAAATCAAGAGCCCCAGGCCCTCTCCTGGTAGGAAGCCAGTTGTCCCTGTTTGCCAGGTACTGTCCCCGTGGTAGCACTGACATCCCGTGTTCCAGGAAACCCCTCAGTCCTGGGCAGACAGGGGTGGTAGATAGCCCTGTGGCCTGGCCACATCCTAGACTCCAGGTGGAGGGTCCAGGAATGACGAGGTCATCGGGCTTTGGGCGGGAGCTTGGGAGCTGGCCAGCCACAAATCCAATGGTCCATAGAGCCTTCTGCCCCCCCGGTGGGCCAATGGTGAGGCAGTGGGGCTGCTGCCAGAGGGAGACGCCAGAGCCAACTACCTCGTACCAGAGCCACAGGCACAATTGGCTTTGTTTCTCTCAAGTCACCTCTCCTGGGGCTCAAGGGGTGATGCCAGGCTCACCTGGTCTGTCCTCAGAACTTCCTACGCCACTGATTGCTTAATCATGAGGAAGGACAGAGCAGACCTGATTCGCTCCTCCGGGTTCCTGGCCCGATGGGCCACGGGGCTCCTATATACACGTTCTCAGCTCTGGCCAGAGCACACGACCACATTTTGGCCACGGCTTTCCCGTGTCTCCCGGTTCAGGCTCCCGCCAATCCAGAGACCCACAGGGCTGAGGATAGGGCCCCAGAGGGGGCCTCATGTGGGTCAGTCCTCGGGAAATGATAAACGGATGGAGGTTGTCTTCTAGTCCTCTCAGGGCAGAGGCTGGTTCTCAACACCAGAAACAAGGTCTCAAACCCACAGGGACCCAGAAAGCGCTCGGCGACGGCCATCTGTGGGCTCAGAAGGTGCCTGATGATTTGAAGGTGACTTGAAGGCATCTGTTGCCCGAAAAGCCTCCAAGGAGCTCAGAGGAGGCAAAGGCCCTCTCCGCCACTGCCCGTTTCCCCAAGTAACAAGGCTCAGAGAGGGTGGGGGTCCTGCCCAAGTGTGCACAGAAGCTGTGAGCGGCCAGGCTCCAGCCCCACCTCACCTCCTCCGTCTGGGCATTCCAGGGCCCGCTACTGCTCTAAGCTATCTATCCGGGGCCGGCTGCACCCCCTCCCACCACGTGCTCTTTGGCCCACCCGCCCCCAGCCCCCCAGGCTCGGCCTCCCATGGGTCTGTGGGACTCCCTCCCCTCAGGGTGCCAGGCCAGGTGGCCTCTGTCCCTTGCTGGGTGGGCACGAGGAGGGAGGCCTAAGGTGGAGGGGGCCGTGCGCCCTCAGGAGACACGAGCATGTCAAACTTGATGAGTGGCGGAGCGATGGCGCGCACCTCAGCGTTCAGCGGGTTGAAGCGGAGATTGACGCGGCGCAAGGCGGACATGGCAGCCAGCTTCTCCACGGGTACGTCTGTTGAGAAGAGAGGACAGGTCAGGGGAGCCCAGGTAGGTAGGGACAGGAAGACGCCGATCCAGCTCTCCATCAGCCCCCGCACTTGGGCTTAGCTGCTGGCTCCCAGCCCCGGGTGGGGGGCCCTCGGGGCTCATCACCCCATTACAACCACACTCCGGGAAACATGCCCCCAAACCCAGTTCAGCGCTAGGATTGTCATTTGCCCCAGCAAAGCCTCTCCTGGGTAGAACTGGAACTGAAAACAGGAACTCAAGCAAATACTTGTGTACGAATGTCCACGGCGACACTAGTCACAGCAGCCAATGCCCACCGACAGCGGGGAGGATACACTGAGTGTGGTTAAATCCCAACAACCGAATACCATTCAGCCATGAAAAGGAAGGAAGCATTGACAGACTCCATGACTGGGATGAGCCCCAGAAACATCACGCTCAATGAAAGAAGCCAGACACAAAAGGTCACATAGCGTAGGATTCCATTTATAGGAAAGGCCCAGAATGGGCAACTCCATGGAGACAGAGAGTAGACTAGTGGTTGCGGGGGGTGGGGGAGTGGGTGCAGGGCTTCCTTTGGGGTGAGGAAAGTATACTTTGGAACCAGGTAAAGTGAAGGTTGCAGAACACCGTGAATGTACCGAATACCACCGAACTGGGCACTTTAAAGTGGTTCACTTTATGGGGAGCCTGGGTGGCTCCATCGGTTAGGTGTCCGACTCTTGAGCTCAGCTCAGGTCTTGATCTCATGTTGTGAGTTCAAGCCCCACGTTGGGCTCTGTGCTGGGTATGAAGCCTACTTAAAAATAAATCAATACAGGGCACCTGGGTGGCTCAGTCGGTTGAGCATCCGACTTTGGCTCAGATCATGACCTCATGGTTCGTGGGTTCGAGCCCCGCATCGGGCTCTGTGCTGACAGCTCAGAGCCTGGAGCCTGCTTCGGATTCTGTGTCTCCCTCTCTCTCTGCTCCTCCCCCATTCATGGTCTTTCTCTGTCTCTCAAAAATAAACATTAAAGTTTTTTTTAAAAAAATCAGTAAATAAAATGGTTAATTTTATGATACATGAAATTTACCTCAGTTTTAAAAAAAGAAAGAACAAGGCAGCAGCTATATTTGCTCTTGCTACCAGTAGAGTCTCATATCTAACCTTTAGGATCACTCAGTCTTCAGGTCAAGATCCCGCAGGCCACGTTAACAGCTGTGAGCAAATGACTAATCCTAATAATATTACAGGATATACCTTGCCGGGTGGCTTGAGGACAAACGGGAGAGTAGATGTACTCCACCCAGTACTTGATGAACATCAGATACTACCATGAAAAGGAACTGAGGCCCAGAGAAATTCAGTAAGTTGCTCAAGGCAACCCAAGGTCCCAAACTCGTAATTAGCTGAGCCCAGGTTGGAATCCGAGTTCTCAAAAAGACTGCAGGGGTCCAGGGAGGAAGGGGCCAGGCCGGGCATAGAGATGGCAATCGAGCCAGGACGTGAAGGGTAGGTGGGATCTGAATGAGGGGAAGGGGTATTTGTGGCGGGAGGGAGGGAGGGGCGAAAGAATGGGACCAGGGTGCCAGAGTGAGAGCTGGGCGCAGTGAGGGGACTGGGAGGTCGTGTCAGTGGCATCTAGATGGCATCTTTCAGGCCCAGATCCTGAGGGCACAGCTCTGCAGTTTGGAACACCAGGGCCTATAGGACCTCTCAGCCCAGGGAGCCAGGCCCTCCCATGGGGCCCAGGGAGACGTGAGGGACAACCACTCTGTGTTTCTGTTCCCCACTTTGGAGCACTGTAAGGGACAGTCTACTTAGGAGAGGGCATGTTGTAGTTTAGAGAATGTTCCAAGCCACCTGGGTTCAAATCCCAGCTGTGCCCTTTTCTAGCTGTGTATCCTTGGGCAAATTAAACCAACTTTCTGTGACTCAGTTTCCTCACCTGTGAAATGGGGGGAATAATACCACCTATCCAATAAGGTCGTCCTAAGGCTCCGAGGAGTTAATACAAGGCACTCAGAACAGTGGCTGCACATAGCCGGCAACCAACCAGGAGCCAATGCCATGACACGCAGGCCCAGACGCCCTGGAGGCAAACATTCCCTCCGCCCTGATCCAATTCTGCAAGCAGCCCACACACCGTGTGACCTCCCACTCCAGCCAGGACGGGGCCAGGCCATTAGTAATGACAAAAATCAACTCCTACCTCTTTTGCGTGCCTTGCGTTGGGCAGATTGAGGGTTTTCTGCTCCTGTGGTTGTTTCGTTTTTAATTTTAGACCACTTTGACATGTTATAATACAGCAATATAGGTATTTTTTAGGTGGGCTCCAGCGTGGGGCTTGAATTCACGACCCTGAGATCCAGACCTGAGCTGAGATTAAGAGTCGGACACTTAATCAACTGAGCCACCCAGGAGCCCCCACATAATTTTAACTTAGGTCAATGGCACTGTATTATAGATCTCAGTCTATTTATGTTTTTTCCCAGAGCACCACCACTTTTTTTTTTGATATACATGTAAGCAAACGCCTCAGTTACAGGAAGGCGTACAATCAGGTATGCACTCCTGTGACCTCCATCCAGATCGAGCTATAACACATAGGGTTCTCTTGCGCTTCTTTCCAGTTTATCCCCACCCTGACTTTAAAAGAAAAAAAATTTTTAATGTTTCTTTATTTGTGAAAGAGAGACAGAATGTGAGTGGGGGAGGAGCAGAGAGAGAGGGAGACACAGAACCCGAAGCAGGCTCCAGGCTCTAAGCTGTCAGCCCAGAGCCCGACACGGGGCTCAAACTCACAAACCACAAGATCATGACCTGAGCCGAGGTCAGAAGACGCCTACCGACTGAGCCACCCAGGCACCCCAACCCACCCTGACTTTTTTCACCATTGATTCATTTGCCTATCCCTAAGCTTAAGACAAGTGGAACCTACTAGTGTGTGTCCAGCTTTAGACATTCAGTGTAAGAATATTTTTACTTGGGGACATTTTATTTTATTTTATTTTTAATTTTTTTTTCAACGTTTATTTATTTTTGGGACAGAGAGAGACAGAGCATGAACAGGGGAGGGGCAGAGAGAGAGGGAGACACAGAATTGGAAACAGGCTCCAGGCTCTGAGCCATCAGCCCAGAGCCTGACGCGGGGCTCGAACTCACGGACCGTGAGATCGTGACCTGGCTGAAGTCGGACGCTTAACCGACTGCGCCACCCAGGCGCCCCACTTGGGGACACTTTAAATATTATTTTCTCAGGTTACTCTTTTTACCTGGAAATAATTTCTTACTTATAAAAAGTTGTAAAGGTAAAAACAGTACAGAGAATACCACATACCTTTCACCAAGATTCACCAATTAACATTTTACCCTCTTTGCTTTATCATTTGTGCAAATGCCCGCTCGCCGTCTCTCTCTCTACACACACACGCACGCACACACACACACACACACACACACACACACACCTTTTTTCTGACTTGAGGGTAACATATATCATGGCCCTTTATCCCTACTTCATTGTGTATTTCCTAAGAATAGACATTTTCTGTTGCAAACATAGCTGTCAATTTCATGAGTTTCTACTGAGAGAACAGTTACCTAACATACGGCCCATATTTCAGTTTTCTTAGGTGACCTAACCATGTCCTTTGTAGCAGTCCCTCCCTCCCTCCAGTGCAGGGTCCAGTATAGGGTCAGGTATTGCATTTAGTTGTCCTCATTTGTCATTTTTAGGACACCACCATTTTGGCAGAATATCACGGCCATCATCTGTCTCTTTGATAAAGAGTCCCACATTTTGGGGTACCTGGCTAGTTCAGTCAGTAGAGCATGTGACCCTCGATCTCAGGGTCATGAGTTCAAGCCTGATGTTGGGTGTGGAGCCTGTTTTTAAAAAAAAAAAAAAAAAAAA